ATTCTGTTCTTGTATTGAATTTCTGGAATTTTTATTATTATATGCCTGGGTGTTTCTCTGTTAGGGTTGTAGGTAGCTGGGGTCCTGTATGCCTCATACATTTGAGTATCTTTACCTTTTGCTAAATTAGGAAAATTCTCCTGGATTATTTCTGTGAGTAGCTTTTGTAGTTCACTTGTTTGTGTCCCTACTTCTTCTTTTATGTTCTTAATCCTTAAGTTATGGCTCCTCTTATCATCTTCTTGTCTTTGTATTATTGCTGTGTGTTTCTTTGTTATTTTTAAGAAGTTTTTCATTTCATTCTCCCATGTTTCAAGTCTGCCCTCCAATTCAGATAGTCTGTCCTTAGTTTCTTTCAAGCTGTTATGCCAGTCTTGGGTAGACTTCTTAATTTCTTGATAGTCCCTTTGAGCCTGCTTCACATACTCAATGCTTTCTCTGTTTTCTCCATCAAGCAATTCTCCCCTCTTTTTCTGTTCTTCCATTCCACCATCTGCTTTTTCCTGGGTGGTGCTTAGCATTTCTCTAACTATTCTGCATACTTCTAGCTTCAGGTCATTGATAACTTCATTCCTGAATTGGTCTATGAGGCTCTCTAAATGGCGCTTAATGTATATTGGTGCGGTGTCCACTATTGCCTGATTCTCAGGATTGGGGGCCGAGGAGCCTTTTTTGTTGCTTCCCTTCCCCATATTTTCTGTTCCTTATAAAATGCAATCTTACACAGGAGGCCCGGCTTCCCTGCCTGTCAGCCACAGCCCTGATCAAATTGCGCTGGCTAGTTGTTCCCGCCCACCGCTGCGCACCAGGGAGTCGCGGAGGAGGCAGCCTACGCGGGAGTCGGTCGCTCCTCCGGGCCACCGTCAGGCTCTGGGATCTGGGTTAGGCCAGCCTAGGGAGTCCGCCAGCAGCGTCACTCAGGCCAGGCACCTTTCACCAATCCCGTCCGAGAAGGGAATGTGCGGCTGCAGTTGCCACCGCGCGCTGCTCTTACAGGACTGCCTGAGCCCAGAAAAACCTCTGCTGGAGTCAAACTGTGGTAGGGAGTCAGTTTCTCGCTCACCTCGCCACCAGTCAGTTTTCCTCCTTGTCCGTCCTGTTTCCGACTCCGTTCGCAGACTCCCGTTCCCGAGCTTCTGCGCGTCTCTCCTTGCTGAGCCGCTGTGGAGGCAGCCAGCCGCCGGGCGGCGGGAAATCCAAACCACGGTTTCCAATGGCGCGGGGTCGAGCCTCCACACCGAGATTTTTCTGTTCCTATTTTAGCGCCAGGCCTGTATTCTAAGTTGGATTCTCTCAGCCCAGTTCGTTCCTGAGTCAGCAGAGCATATCTCTCCTGGTTCGTATCTCCTTAGTCCGCATCATTCCTGGCCTCTGAGCCGAGCCTTTAGAGAGCCTTCAGTAGTTGCTGTTGTCTGTCCGCCATGTTCCACCACTGACTCGCAAGATCCTATCTCAACACTATCCCCCCAAACACTACTACTAATAATAAAAAGGAAACTCAATGTAACTTACATGAAAGATTTTTTTCTTTAATTGGAAATCCAGTGTGAAGAAAATAACCTCAAGAAAAAATACTAAGATATCCAGGAGCAACAGCACACACTTGTAACTCAAGCTACCAGGAGGTGGGGGCAGGGTAGCAAGTTCCAGGGCAGTCTGAGCAACATAGGGAGATTCTATCTTGAAATTTAAAAGATGGGGTGAGGAGTGCTGGTGAAGTCACTCAGTTACAGAGCATCCCTGGGTCCAATCTCCAGTAATGCAAAAAATGAAAAGGTGAAAAGAAAAGGAAAAGGAAAAAGAAATCAGATATAAATCAACAGTTCTGTGGGTAGATTAGACATAAATAACAACACATAGTTCTACTGGTAGAAATTGTAGTTGTTATTATTATTATTAAATAAAACAGATTATAAACAAAGAGTTTGTTTTTTGGGGTTTTTTTTTTTTTTTGTCTTTTTCCTTTTTATCGGTACCGGGGATTGAACTCACGACTGCCTGCTTACAAGGTAGGCACTTATGCCTCTGAGCTAAATCTCCAGCCCCTATAAACAAAGAATTTGGATAAGATAGTTCCCAATGCTGTCTTTCTGTGCAAGTGTGCATGTATATAAATGTAAATACACACAGAGAGAGATAATCTTTTATTACAGCTCCAGTTTAAAAGTTCAGGGCATTTAATATCAGTAATGCTCTCATTTGCCAACACAGTCTACTTTTATCAAGAGATCTAATTATATTCTTCATAGTGACCCCATATTGAATCCATTCATCCTATCTTTGGCCTCCTTTAATCTAGGACACATTAATATAATGTATGTCCCCTGGCATCAAAATGAATAATTTCACATGTTTCCTTCAGAATCTGAATCATGTTTCTTCAAATAAGAATACAACAATTATGGGCAAGGGACGTAGCTCAGTGGTGTTAAGTGCCTAATACATGGCAAGCACAAGGTCCTGAGTTCAATTCCTGGTACCTAAAACAAAGTACTGTATAATAAACAAAATATGATAATAAAGTCCTGAAATTATTTTAAAAAGAATATAACACTTATTCATTCTGTTTTGCAAATATGTCTTTGATGATTATCTACAGATTCTAAACTTTTGGGGGGGGGTTAACCAGGAATTGAACTCGCAACCTCGTGCTTGTGGGGCAGGCACTTACACCACTGAGCTAAACCCCCAAACCCTATTTACAGATTCTAAATAATCAATATTCATTTCATTATTATAGCAATGTAAACACCAAAACATTGTAGATGCAGGCAACGTTTGGGTTACATTTCCCTCTGTAAAGTGTGTCCAGCCCCTCCCCAGCCAAATGAAGGACAAGATGTGCAAGCATCAAGATCAAATTTCTCTATTTTTAATATATGTATGAGAATTTGACAGTGAAGACCTCTAAGATTCTCTCAGCTCCACCCAAAAGTATCATCAAACACCATTTCTCAGTGACTTCTTAGAAATTTTTACACCATTTAATCTTTCTAGTAAACATGTTGTTTACATGGTGTTTCCTCTTTCAAGCACCTACTGTGGGGAAATTATTCAACTACTTAAAAACAAAACTTACATCTGCAAACAAGAATAACTTAACTGATATCAAGCAACTTAGACTAAAAGGACACACACAGATTATATACCATACAATCCTTTTAAAGGGAAAAAAAACAGTAACCTAAACCAAGAGAACTGTGATAACCAATCTCTATTCAAATCAATCTATTCTCATTTCTTATCAAAAGAAAAACAAAAACTCTAATTAAGAGGAATTTATAGTGAAAAGATACTAGTATTCCAGAATTCATGGAGTGTTTATGTGAACTCATAATGAAATGTGAAAACAATCCTTGTCTTCAAGGCATTCATAAATCCTGAAGAGATGACATAACTAATAAGGCACTGTAGTAAGATAATAGAAATAAAATGGCTTCATAATGCCAAAAAGAAGAAAAACGAGTTTTGACTTGAGCATCTAAGGAAGGCTCTGTGGAAGACAAATTTTCAATGGCTGAACAACCAAGATTTTAAACTATGAGACAAAAGGGTCAACCAAAATTGTACGTGCAGTAAAATAACAACTTCCTCCCCACCAAAAAGCACACTGGAGGGTACTATTTAAAAGACAGGAAGAAAGGCAGTGTGGCTACGGTAAGAAGTGCACTATGTGCACAGGGAAGAGGTGATTAGCTGCAGGAGATGTTTCAAGCTTATAGAGAGTACATGCCATGTTATGGAGGTGGATCCTTCTTTTAGAGGCAATGATAGCAAGCCAAAGATTACTAACCAAGGAATGATCTGGATTTACAAATTCAAAGCCAAAGTAACCACTTTTCAACAAACCTGAATTATAATTCCCCAAATTAAATAGCAAGTAATAAACACAGTTAAAGGATAGACATTAGTATGTGAAAAAAGTTAATTACAGACAGTTTAAATTAGGCAGAAAGATTATAGGCAGTGGGACAGAACTCAGTGCAGAAGATGAAAAATCATCAAAACTGTGGCTGGTGGTGCATCTGAAAATTAAAATCACAATGGCAAGATTTACATACTTCCCTAAAGGATAAGCAAAATCTTGAGATGTTTGCATTACCTTTTTTCGACTACCTATATAAACAAACCATTATCTCATTATGGGTGGATAGTCCTTTCCCAACTACTAAGACTAAAACTAAGGCTAAAGATGAAACATAGATTATCTACCAAGGTTAACTGTGTCATCCATATCCCCTTGTTGCTGCTGTATCAATATCAGGTAAGCAATTATACTTGTAATCTGATTGGTTGATTATAATTTGACCCAAGTTCTACCCACTTTGTGACTTTGCTCTATAAATCTCAGAAAAGTGGGCCCTATGACAATGCACTTTTGAGTCCCCTCCTGTCTCTCTGGAACTATCTCAATAAATTTTTCCAACTCTTAACCTTCTTTGTTCCTTACAATTCTTTGTTTTTGGGGCACACAAACTAGCAGGTTATGTTTGTCCCCCCTATATCAGAAGGACATATAAAAACAGGGCAAGAATTAATATCCACACTGGATATTAGGCTAAAGTTTTTAAATTTGTCTAATGAAACACCACATTTGTACTACTAACTCTAGTACTAAGAGACTTTACTTTTCCAATAGATATATACCAATTTAAGAAAATGCAATCAAATTTCAATTTTAAAAAGCTCAAGATTTGAGGACTATTTAAACAAAAAGTTTAGTGCTATTGTATTTAAATATAAAATTTAAATATAAGTTATCAGGCAGAAAACACTGTTTTATGCCACAATTATATACAAAAAAGGTAATGTGGCCTGAGTCCTACTGAAAACAAACAAAAATCTCATGTAGAAGCTTAAAATAAACAGAAAAATTAATTTAAGTAATTACAAACAGAGACAAACAGGTCCCAACAATCAATTTGCGAATTAACTTTTCCCTTGCCTTAAATTACCACAGAAAGAGTACAGAGCAATAGGGTGGTGGTGAATGAACTTACCAAATGATGTTTAGCCTGATAATTTTTCTACCACTATACAAGGTTTCACAAGGAAATCTGCAAAAGAAAAAAGTTATTTTATAATGACAAATATCTGAAAGACAAGGGTAATCCACTTAGGTCTTCCTACAAGACTTTTCTTTACAATATTATAAATAGCTAAGTTAGGTAAAAAATATAGTAGACAGTCAGAACTGGACCCTCTTGAAGTCAGTGCAAAAAAATAAGACTTCATCAGGATTGCGGCTGGAGGAACATCTGAAGATTAAAAGTCACAATGGCTACTTTTACAGACTTCCGTAGGGGATAAGAGTAGGCTTGGAATTATTACCCTTTTGAAATTTCCCATTTTCTCATTAAGGCTGGGACATCCTCTCCCACCTAGTAAGACAAGGCCAACACTATAGATTATCAATCAAAACTAATGATGTTACTCGTATACCCTTGCTACCATTAAATGATTAATTATTACCCAAGCAACTATACTTGTAGTCTTATTGGTTGATCATAATTTTGACCCAAGTTGTCACGATTTTTCCTCATGATTTTGCTCTATAAAACCTTTAGAGGTGGGCTTGTTTGCAACCCATTTGGGACCCCTCCTATCTCTCAAGAGTTAATCTTATTCCTCACTCCCCACTTCTATTCTCCATTCCTTTTCTCCAATAATTTTTTTTTTTTAGAGAGAAAAAGCAAAACAGAGAAAAGGGTAGAAATAATACATTCAAAAAAAAAAAAAAAAACAGTAAGAAATGACTAGTCAAAAAAACCAGAAATCACTAGTTGAAAAATTAAATATTGTTGTCTTAGAAGTAGTTGTTCAAGTTACAAAATCAAAGCATAAAAAATGGACAACCAAACATGACAGTACAAACTAAGTGAAATAAATCAGACTCACATTTGTAAATATCATATAGTTTTTCCAATAAATTTTTCTACTCTCAATCTCCACTGTTTCTTAGAATTCCTGTCAACTTCAGGTAATACAAACTTGGTGTATCTGACACCTAGCATTTACCCTATATCAGTAAGAATAACATGATTTTCAGATTTCTGCAATATGGACTGTTCAGTCAACTACAGCTAATACAATTTTTAACTGCAGAATGGATCCAGCCAGGCTTCAGCAAATCTTCTGAACTGAACTGCAAGAAAAGAACTTCCCAGGATCCTAAAGATATTTCTTTTTAGGAGTTTTTCCCAGAGCAAGCAAGCATCATTTCTACAGCTTGACAGAAAAATCTAAGATCACAGACACTCTAGGTCTGGAATTCCTAATGTAAGGTTTTTTGTACAAATAATTGGTTTCAGAGATCTATCTTCTTTCTTAACACACAGAATTCAGGCAACAATCTGAACTTTACAGAAATCACACACAATCAACCTTAATTCCTTTTTGGTAAGTTCTTTCAATATTTGCAGACACAACTCATTCTCTGGAACTGTTTATGACATAAACAGTCACATAAAAGAACATGACTGTGCGGAACAACAAAACCCTGCATAATGAGACTCTATCTCAACAATCACAACAACAACAACAAAAAAAAACAAGAATTGGAAAAAAGACAATATTATTAAGAAATGAGGGGCAAATTCCACGGAAGCTCACAAGCTATAATATGTAGATATATGCCCAGAAGGTAATCAGGAAGCAAAGGGATTAAAGTCAAGATACATAGCAAGTCAATGGACGACAATGAATTTATGGTGCTACATTTAATTCAAGGAAATTACTACTGCAAGAATCATCTGACATGCTTCAAGATTATTTAATTTATTTCATAAAAATGAGTAATTTATTAATATAAAAGTATTCATGTAAAATTCACACAGATGCCTACAAAATTCCAAGAGACGGACCTAACAACAGACTCAACAAAAAGGCCGAGACAAGTCAGTATCAATGCCAGCAAGGACTCCTCTTCCCAACAACGACAACAAAATAAAAAACTGCCCCCATATTTCCAAGGGTCTTGCCAAATAAAGAGCCTAAAAAAGGTGAGTCTGAAAGAAGCTGTCTGGCATCAGATGCATTCCTCAGAGTAAAACTAGTTGTGCTCACTTTAACTGGAAAAGTTACATACTTATAGCAGTAGAATATAATTATGTTAAATAACTAGCTAAAAGGTCTAACTATCAAAAATATTTAAACATTTGAGGACCTCATGAACAAACAGCCAGGGATACACGGGTGAAAAAGGGGTTAGTTAACCTTACATGTTAAGGTTACCTTTTCATTACCAAAAAAGACATAATGAATCTTTGTGTCATTGTTTGAACTAAGACACACATTTTTTATTGGGTAACTGAGTATACTATATACACATAATTTTATATGTTATAAAAGATAAGCCTAAAAAGAATGTAAAAATCAATATACTTGAAAATTAAATAGTTACGGTATTAGATACTATATGGCATTAGATTACCATAAGTCACTTATATCTATTCCTTTAAATTTAACTTTTGTAAAGAGGTAGGGCTGGGGTAGTATGTCCTTATTACCAGGAAAGATTAAAACCAAAGATCAACATATAAAAATCTGCTTTCAGGACCAGAGATATAGCTCAGCGGCAAAGCACCTGCGTGGCAGACATCAAGTTTTGAGTTGGGTTCCTGATACCAAAAAAGAAAAAAAAATCTGCTTTTAAAAAGGTAAACATTTCAATGTTAATAAAGAAAGCAGACATTCTTTGTTCTAATTGGCTCTTTATAATTACCTTCTATGCATACGTTCGTTCATATTTTAACTCAGATATAATAAACCAGTAGTATTATTATGAGAAAGTTCTAATGAGAAATCTGTAATGTTACTGTTTGTTGTTTGAAACTATACAGTTCAGCTAGCCTTGAACTGACTTTGTAGCCTTGACTGGCCTCAAACTCACAGCAATCTTCCTGCCTCAACCTCTGAAGTGCTGAGATTATGGGAGTACACCACCACACCTGGCTGTAATGTTATATTATGTGAAAGATCACATAATTTTTTCATTTTATTATTGAAATTACAAATTTAAAATCTAATTTTATAAGGGAGCACATTTAGATTCCTCATTTGAAATGAAATATTTCTTATCTCCTAATAATGAAAAACAATAGAACAAAAGAAATATTTAAGTCTTAGGTGTTACGAAGAAAAGAAGGTAGGAAGTTTAGCATTCAATCATTAGAAATTAACGGAATTAAAAGCTAAGCAGGATCATTTTATCTACGTACCTGGCAATATTAGTTCAAGCTTTATAATTGTTATGGAAAGATAAGAAAGCCTAGCTACAACCTCGGAAAAGTTTCCTGACATTTGTTCCTTTGACTAGTTCCAAGGTCTACCTTTGGGAAGGTAAATTTCCACATACTCATTAATACCTCCTACTTACTTTCAGTTAGCACCTATTGAAAGGAAACAGGTTAACTGTAATCCTTTCACCTTTTCTGCTCTTTGTCCTTTTCCCTATCCCCAACTCACAGGCCTCACCACCAACTCATAGAACAAATGTTTCATTAAAAAAAGAAAAACTCAGGGTTGGGGATATAGCTCAGTGGCACACCACCTACCTGGCACGTACAAAGTCCTGAGCTGGATTCCTGGTACCAACAAAAACAATAGAAAACAAAAAGAAAAAGGGATTCAAATTCCAAAAGCTCATCAAAACTTAGTCTTATAATTTCTATCTTTTTCAACATAGGTATCTTAACACTAAATCACAAAATCTGACCCTCCTGTCTCCCACCATTCAGAGAACAAAACTTTGATTGAATTTTTCTTAGACAAAAGATCCAAAATGATGAACTTCTATGAAGATGAATAACTTTATAGTTTCCAAAAGGGGTTTTGGATAAGTCCTCTATTTAAAACTATTTCTTATGTACTCAAAAGGTATCAATGAAGATACAGTAATGAAGACCTAAAAATGTGGAGGTTTTGGGGTGGTTTTTTTAAAAGTTATTCTTTTTTTTTTTTTTTTAACTTTTTTTTAACTTTTTATTGGTACCAGGGATCGAACTCATGACCGCCTGCTTGCAAGGCAGATGCTTAGGCCACTGAGCTAAATCCCCAGCCCCAGGTGTTTTTTGTTTTTTTTTTAAAAGACAAGATCTTATTATGTAAATTAGGCTTACTATGTATAACCCAAACCAATCTTGAACCCACATTAATCTTCCTGCTTTGGTCTCCCAAACCCTGGGATTATAGGTGTGTGTCACCACACCTGGTTTAAAATGTGCTATTTTTTAAAGGCAACTAAAGTTCTAGGCAAACTTTATAACAATAAAAGCTTTCTCAATGACATTCTGAAACCTGCCAAAAATTTAGTACTTATATTTTCCTTTTGAATCCTGAAATAGTTAAAAAAAAAAAAAGTCTTCAAATATTACTCTAATACCATCCTCTTTTCCTTTCAACTATAAAAAGAAATTTCTTTTGCAGGATAATACCAGTCTGAAGGTCAGTTTGCCACAGGAATTCATATGCCACATGTAAATGGACATGTAATTCCTATTTTGCTTAGGAACTTGAGATAGTAAGTAAGTATCAATTCTAGGAACAATTTAGAAATTGTGCAACTACACACAAAAAATAACTATCAGTACTCCCACCCAGCCAAACTGCATAGTGCTTATCAGTAAATGAATATTTTATTAGGAATACTAATATTCTTCTCCAGTTCTGTAAACAGACTTCAAAATTCTGGCTTCTTCTACTTGGTTTTATGCAGACAAATAGGCATAAACAAAAACAATTATTCTAAGACATGGTCAAGGGTCAAAAAGCTGAATAATAATGCATATTATCCTTTAAGTACATAATTTAGCAAAAAGAAATACACTTGAATTTTTTATTGCTATTTTTTTTTTTTTTTTTTTGTCTTTTTCCTTTTTATCGGTACCAGAGATCGAACTCACGACTGCCTGTTTGCAAGGCAGGCGCTTTTGCCGCTGAGCTAAATCTCCAGCCCCTTTTATTGCTATTATTACAATTAAAAACAGTTCACCTGCAGCCAGCTAGAAGAACATTCAGAAGAGACAAAACTTTACAAAAACAAAGGCAGTGTAAAGCA